ATTTGACAAAATCATAGAATGATAAGGAAAGCACGTGATGAAACGTTGTCCTCTGGATTTTACAATATGAATGTTGGTGGTGCTTATTATAGTAACTGCCATTTTATGTAGAGGTTGTATTTAGTACTGGCCAATAGGGCTTTTCTGTAAGCGTTAGAAAAGTTTCTTCTGGAAAAAACTGCATGGGATATACGTGACTTTTATTTTTCTTATATAGTAGCTTAAGTCATGCTGCATGGTATTCCTCTTTATATTAATCATTATATTGAAAAATTAACTCAAAATAGATATATTTTTTAGGAAAGAAGTTGATCCACGATTGTTAGGGTTAAGAGTTACCGAGTGGCGAGTGCAAAGTCTTTACATGAATTAGACTTAGGACTTTGAACTGAAAGAGTTTGTGATTTTTTATATTCTTTTGGATTTAAATTTGTAGTTTTAAGCTCAATAATTTGCTTTATTATGAACTAAATATAAAATTATTAATATGATTCAGTATTTAGAATGAAAAACTTGTGTGATTTGTACGTAATACTATTAGTACCACAAAAGAATTTTATATTTTTCTTTCTTACAATCTTTGCTTTGTAGTAAGACCCACACTTCTGTTGTTATTGCGTTAGAATTAAAATAGTCTAACTGATATATATATATAGTTTATTCTGATATTTTGCAAATGGTTCAAACTCAGTAGTGACAACAATAAAACCCATATGTTGGTTGTGAAACAGGCTAAATACATTCATACAGGGAAGCTATGACATTCCAATATAAATCTTGCCTGTAATGAGAGGAATGTGACCAGGACTATTCTTTTAAGTGCTGTAAAGTAATTTTCTTTGTAATTTATGGTGTCTGTATCGTTTGGTAATCTCTTCTAACAGGATGTATCAAGTAACAAGGGGTCAGGCTCAGGTGGTGTTTATTGAAACCACCTGTACTATAAACTGTTAAATACATTTGTTAGTAGTGGCAATTGGTTTTGTCTATTCGGAAACAACATACACGGACATATGTTGAAATAAACTTGTTTGAAAGTTCAAAGAAATGATATTCAAGTACCAAAAAGCTTTGTTACTATCATATCTACAGTAACGTTCAAATGCGCACGCGCTCGGTTGAACGAAAGTGACCACCAAAAAGGGTGACATAGTTTACGGACAACGTACAAAGTTCACGCTGCTGACCCCAC